GAAGTTGTCCCAGAAACTTCTTACACTGTTGTTTTTTTTTTTAATTCTTTTTTTGTTTTGCTGTTCTGATTGAGTATTTTTTGCTTCCTTATATTCTAATTTGATGGTTTGCTTCTTGGCTTTACCTACTCTACTATTGATTCTCTGTAAATTATTCTTTATTTCAGTTAGTGCATCTTTCACTTCTGACTGGTCCTTTTTTATGTTGTTGATGTTCTGAGTTCCTTGGAGTTCTCCTTAAGTTCTTTGAGGGTCTCACTAAGTTCCTTGAATATCCTTATAACCAGTATAACCTTGTAACTCTGCATCTGATTGATTGCTTATCTCCATTTTGTTTAGTTATTTTCATGGAATTTTGTTCTCTTCTTTCACCTGAGACATGTTTCTTTGTCTCCTCATTTTGGCTGCTTCCCTGTGTTTGTTTCTGTGTATTAGGTAGAGTTGCTATTTCTCATAGGCTTCGTCGGATAGCCTATTGTTGTAGATGTCCTATAGGGTTCAGTGGCGCAGCCTCCCTGATCACCCCAGCTGGGCTCTTGAGGTGCACCCCTAGTGTGGACTGTACACCCTTCTGTTGTAATTTAGTCTTGATTGCTGTTGGCATGTCAATGGGAGGGATTTACTCAGGCTGACCAGTTGCAAGGACTGGCTATGCCTACTGACGACTGGCCTCTGAGTCCCTTGGAGGATCATCTGGGTAGGGTCCCACCACACAGAGCAAGACTTACTTCAGCAGGGCTCTGGTACCCACTGAGTCTGCTCCTTGAGTGTGCCTCTTGTGGGGGTGGTTGGGTGATGGTGCTTCACTGTTGGTCTGAAGTAGTCCACTGGGTGTGCTGGCTCTGGGGCAAGGTCAGCCTCTGCCTGTGTTCTACCCGGGGCCACCTGGCATAAGCTACAAAGTGATCTGCTCATGGCTGCTGCTTGTGCTGGGCTTGGAGGTGTCCAGGCAAAGCCAAGTTGTAAACCAAGGCTGGTTGCTTCTAGTTCCAGGGCTGGGGCCACTTAGCAAGAGGTACAGGGCTCACTGAGGCCAGATGCTGTATGTTTGAGAGAATTTAGGAAACTCTGAAGCAGTATCCAGGACAGGCCAATCCTATGGTAAAGCCACTGGAAACAGCTTGGATGGGCCTGATAGTTGGGTGGGGCAGGGCCTCAGGGAATCTGTAGGGTGGAGCAAACAGTGTGAACCAGGTTCCTGGAATCCCAGATATGGGGCCAGCCGCCCTGGGGAAGGGCTTAGCAAAGGAACATCAGCCTCCCCCAGCACATCTGTCTGGGAGAAAGCTTCTCTCCAGCTCTAGCCCCGATGCCAAACAACTCAGTTCTTCCTCTAAGTCTCTGGTGCCTTTCAAGCTGCCTCCCCCGTGCTGGAGCCTGGAGGGAGCAAGTCCGAGTAAGTCTGTGTTCGGGCCTTTAAAGAGGAGCCGCCTGGGGTTCCAGCAGCCTCTGCCTCCCTCAGCCTCAGTTCCTGCTGGTTTTACAGCCAGAAGTGATGAGGATTCTTGTCCTGGCACTGGAACCCTCGGCTGAGGGCCTGGGGTGAGACAGGGACCCCTCACTCCTTAGGGAGGGCCTTCGCAGCTGAGGTGTCCCTCCTGATTTTTTTTTTTCTTTATTGATTTTTAGAGAGAGAGGAAGGGAAAGGGAGAGAGAGATAGAAACATCGATGAAAGAGAACATTGATTGGCCGCCTCCTGCATGCCCCCACTGGGGATCGGGCCCACAACCTGGGCTTGTGCCCTGACCAGGAATCGAACCAGTGACCTCTTGGTTAGTGGGTCATTGCTCAACCACTGAGCCACACCAGCCGGGCTCCTCCTGATTTTTATCCGCCACACGTGAGTGTGGACCAGCCCTTTTGTGCTTCCACCCTCCTACCAGTCTCGATGTGGCTTCTTTAATTTTGTAGTTGTAGGACTTCCATTCAGCTCAGTTACAGGTGGTTCTGAGTGATGGTTGTTCTGTAGTTTTGTTGTAATTTGATGTGGTTGTGGGAGGAGGTGAGACCGTATTTGCCTTCGTCACCATCTTGACCGGAAGTCACCTTTAGTTTTATAGACTCCACTCATTTCTCTAATTACTAATAGTTTAAGGCTTAAGTAACATCTAAATGGAGAACAAACTGAGATTTGGCAGCAAAAGGAAGGGGTTCAGCTGTAGCTGTAAATGGTGACTGAGTTCATCTACGCTCTTATTGTAGTTTTGCCCATCTTCAAAACCAACAAATCATTGAAAAGAAGTCTTAATTTGAGTAGCATTATTAGGAATGGCAAATGCCTGTATGATATTCAGTCCTGGAGTCTCAGCATTGCCTAGTCTGATTATACTTATGGTGAAAATTTAATTATCTTTCAGTTTTCATTATGGTTCTGGCCAAGATTACTTCACTCTAGAGGACTGGTGTTGCTAAAACATTTTATTGCTTAGTGATTTTAATCTTCATTTAAGAGGAATAGTTAGCCCAGGCTGGGTAGCTCAGTTTGTTGGAGCATCATCCAGTACCCCAGAAGGCTGTAGGTTCCATTCCCAGTTAGGGCACATACCTAGGTTTTGGGTTCCATTCCCAGTAGAGATGGTTAGGGAAGGCGACCAACCATTTCTCCCTCAGGTCAGTTTCCCTCTCTCTCTCTCTTCCTCCCCCCTCCCTTTCCTTCTGCCATCCCTTCCTCCTTTCCTCCCTCCCTTCCTTGCTCACTCTCTAAAATCAGTAAACATATCCTCAGGTGAGTATTAAAAACAAAATAAAAAGAGCCCGACAGCCAGGGTGGCTTAGTGCAGTGGTTCTCAACCTTCCTAATGCCGCAACCCTTTAATACAGTTCCTCATGTTGTCTGGGCGTATCTGCACGTGGGTGGACCCACCTGGAGACGGATAGAGGAGCGGTGTCTCGGTTCCTAAGACCATCGGAAATATGTTTTCCGATGGTCTTAGGCAACCCCTTTGAAAGGGTCGTTTGACCCCCAGAGGGGTCGCGACCCACAGGTTGAGAACCGCTGGCTTAGTGGCTTAAGCATTGTCCCATGGACAGAGAGTTCCTGGTTTGATACCTGGTCAGGGCACATGCCCGGGTTTTGGCTCGATCCCCAGTAGGGGGCATTGCAGGAGGCCTATCGATGTTTCTCTCTCACACTGATGTTTCTATCTCTCCCTTCCTCTCTGAAAACAAAAATCAATAAAAAACTATTAAAAATAAATAAAATTAAGAAGAATTAAGTCAGTCATTTTTTTGTTGCATATCTATTATGATGCAAGTGAGGCACCTGGACACCTGAAAGCATTGCTGTGTATTGTAGTAAACCATAGTTCTTCTGTGTATTAATATGACAGTTTAGCCGTTATTATATCAACATTTTAAAAGCACTCAACTGTCAGAGAGTTAGCAACAAATGCTATCATCACCTCAGATTTCAAGATGTTTAGATATTCAGTAGCTCAGTCTAAGTCAGTGTAGGTGGTGGGTTTAGAGCTACTGTGCCATGTTGGGTTCTGCTTCTGCCCTAGCAGATTGGAGCTGCTGCCAGTCTGGCTGCATCCCCTTGCCCCAACCTTTCTACACTGTGGAGGCCTAGAAATTGGGGACTTCCAACCCAAGGAGTGTACTTGGTATAAGTTGCAGCGATCAGTCTTGATTCAGCAAATGGTCTTTGAGTTCGTAAAACTGGACCTGGTTTTTCATTTATTTATATTGTAACCACTAAGATGTGTTTCATTTCTATATCATAGTGATGTCTGGGTTTTACCCCTACAATTTTTTTCCAACATTGTCTGTAATAATAGTATAAATGCAAGTTTAAAATAGATTATAGATGAAAGAATTAAAATAATGATAGTATAGATGAAAATAAAAGATAATTCCTTACATTTCCCATTATAAGTATTCTAAATTCCTTATTATTTCCACATTATATAAATCTCTTTAACATTTAAAGCTGTACCTTAGATATATGTAATATGCCCTTATCCCATTTGTTCTTGTTTATCTATGGATACAAATGAGCATACCATTTCCACTTAAGTTAAAAGCAATAGGTCATTAGATCAGATTAGTCTCTCCATAGGATTATTTGTGTCTTTTGATTTCTTAATTAGATTTGTGCTTAGTCAAAATATGGTGATGAATTTTTAAGTGTTTATTAAGAAATTCAGCCCTGGCTGGTTTGGCTCAGTGGTTAGAGTGTTGGCCTGCAGTCTGGAGAGACCCGGGTTCGGTTCCCGCTAAGGGCATGTACCTCAGTTGCAGTTTGTCCCCGGCCCTGGTTGGGTCATGTGGGTGGCAGCCACTCAATGTGGTCCTTTCACGTCAGTGTTTCTCTATCTCTCCCACACTATCTGAACAAAGTATCAAAAAATGTCCTTGGGCGAGGATAAAAAAATTCATATGAAATTTTATTTGTCAAAAGGCTTGTTCATTTGTTAATGTTATCAGTTCAGATGTATTAAGTTGCAAGTTACAGGAAACCCAATTCAATTTGACTTCTATGAAGGGTATTTATTGGGTTGTGTAATTAGAAGGCCAGCAGTAGGCCAAGCCTGAGGGTTGATTGGTTTAACAAATCCACAGTGCTACTAAGAATTGGGTTTTCTTTTTTCTGCTCTGCTTCTCACCTTCTTCTCATGATCATAAGACAGTTGCCAGCCATTCCCAGACTTAATGATTTCTCACTTATGTCCAGTAATCTTTTAAAAGCTCACCTAGAAAACCTTTCCTTATATTTCATTGACCTTAGTAGAGGGGTGTGCCCATGCCTTGAACCACCGACTATGGCTGGGGATGGGGTTGTGTTGAGTAACTCAGGCTTGGAGTCAGCTTCCTCTAAATAGAGGGCTTTGGGAGGAGGTACAGAAACTCCAGTCAGAACTGGGTAGTTACCTAGAGGAGGAGGAAATGGATGAAGGGCAACAGTTTCCTGTTTGCTATGCAATCTGAGTCGAGGTCATTTGGGCTTCATTTATAAAAGTGCTTGCTTTGTTTCAGTGGTTTCTCCTTTTGTCTTTAGGGGCGGTGACAACAACCAAACGGACAGGCATTCCAGCTCCTCGAGAACTTTCGGCAACTATCTCAAGAGAGAGAACTGTGCCACGTGGTCCCTCCAACCCAAAGAAATCGGTGTCCAGTCCAACTTCTTCCTGCACACCCACCCCTACCAAGCACCTGAGGACCACTTCCACAAGACCCAAGCAAGAGAATGAAGGTGGAGAAAAGGCTGTGCTTGAGTCCCAAGTTCGGGAACTTTTGGCAGAGGCCAAAGCAAAAGATAGTGAAATTAACAGGCTTCGAAGTGAACTAAAGAAATGCAAGGAGAAAAGGACTCTGAACACTGAAGGAACTGATGCTTTGGACCCAAAGGTAGATGGAACATCAGCTTCACCAGGTGACCCAGAACCTTTGATAAGAGCTCTTGAGGAGAAGAACAAGACTTTTCAGAAAGAGCTTGCTGATCTAGAGGAAGAAAACCGAGCCTTGAAGGAGAAATTGAGTTATTTTGAGCATTCACCTAATTCAGAAGGGGGATCAAGTCACACTGGTGATAGCAGCTGTCCAACATCCATCACCCAAGAGTCAAGCTTTGGAAGCCCAACTGGAAATCAGTTGTCAGGTGAAATTGATGAGTATAAAAAAAACGTACCCAAAAATGTATTGCGGACATCAGGTTCTTCAAGCAGCGATGTTACAAAAGCTTCTTTGTCACCCGATGCCTCCGATTTTGAGCACATCACAGCAGACACCCCCTCCAGGCCCCTGTCTTCCATGAGTAACCCCTTTAAGAGTTCAAAGTGTTCAACCACTGGGAGTTCCCCTAACAATGTGAGTGAACTGTCCCTGGCTTCCCTTACGGAGAAGATACAAAAGATGGAAGAAAACCATCATAGCACAGCAGAAGAACTACAGGCTACTTTACAAGAATTATCAGACCAGCAACAGATGGTGCAGGAATTGACAGTGGAAAATGAGAAACTGGTGGACGAGAAGACAATTTTGGAAACTTCCTTTCATCAGCATCGAGAGAGGGCAGAGCAGCTAAGTCAAGAAAACGAGAAGCTGATAAATCTCTTACAAGAGCGAGTCAAGAAGGAAGAGCCCAGCACTCAGGAAGGAAAAGTCCTGGAGCTGGAGCAGAAGTGCACAGACATCCTTGAGCAGGGCCGCTTCGAAAGGGAGAAGCTGCTCAACATTCAGCAGCAGCTGACCTGCAGCCTGCGGAAGGCGGAGGAAGAGAACCAGGGAGCTGTCGAAATGATCAAACACCTGAAGGAAGAAAACGAAAAACTGAATGGGTTTCTAGAACTGGAGCGGCATAACAACAGTGTGATGGCCAAAACTCTGGAAGAGTACACTGTTACCTTGGAGGGGCTGAAGATTGAAAATGGGTCTTTGAAGGCTTATTTGGAGAATGAGAAGCAAAAGGCTGCAGAGACCAGTCCCATGGGGCAGACGGCAGAGGGCTGTGAGATCCAAGAATTACTGAAAGTAGCTCGAGCTGAGAAAGATCAGCTGGAACTGTCTTGCACTGAACTCAGACAAGAATTGCTAAAGGCACATGGTGAAATTAAACACATTTCAAGCCTGCTCGCCAAGGTAAGGAGCTATCTCTTTGTCAGTATTTGCTCATCCTTGTTAACATTTCCCTCCTGATCTTTAAATTCATAGAGCACAGAGAATCTTTTGCTTCGTCAATTCCATTCTGTTAGATTCCAGGCAGATTGGAGATACAAAATGAAACACCCCAGTTTCTGACTACATGCAGGCAGTTCAGAGTATGGTGGGGACAGTGAATCAGATCAGTGAGTCTGATGCAGGGAGAAAAGATATCATAAAGGAGAACCCAGAGACTTGTGCCACGGAGGAACACCTAGAATACATGGGACCCAGGAGGGCAGTGCAGGAAGACTTCGGAGAGAAGTGCCAGTACGCTGAGGCTCGAAGAAGGAGTGAGTTACCCAGCTCTCTCAGCGAGCGTGCTTTGGGCTGCGAGTGACAAAAAATTAAAGTCACCCCACATTTCCCCACCAAATAAAAATATAACCACTATTTTATATATGTGTGTATGTTTTAGATATATATGTGTGTTTCCCACGAGTTAAAAAAATCTTAAAGAATCATCCTGTACACATTGTTAACTTTTAAACACATAACATTTTCTGAGCATATGCTCATTATTATTCTTTGAAATGAGATTTTAAAGACCAGATAGTTATTCTATTATATGAGCATTTCATATGTACTTTACTAGTCACCTGTTGTTGAACATTTGGGTTCTTTTCCAGTCTTTTGATATTGTGTATACATATTTTTATATATCTCATTATTTCCATAGGAAAAATTCCTGGACATTGACTTGATGAATTCAGAGTATGACATTTTAAAGACTTTCAGTATGTTTGGCCAGATTGCCCTACAGAAATATCATTCCAGTTTGTTCCCACCTGCAGATCATGAGAGTGCTTGTCTCCCTGAACCTTGCCAACAGTCGTCATCAGGTTGTCAGATCATTCGAATCTGGTCTTCATTCCCTTTTTTTTTACCTCACCATTTTTGCTTGGAAAAATCTTCCACAAACCCAAGATCAAATTAAATGATCACTTCTTTCATGTAAAAAAATACTCCTTCAGTTAGTCTGGAACTTTGTTATATGATGAAGATTGCTGGTCATTATCTAAGATTCTGCCCACTCACAGAGCAGTGCTGGAGAGTTACAGGCAGGTAGCTTCCTGTTTCCCATTTCCTCTGAGCTCTGGGTCTGTGATTTAGGGGTTCCTTGGTGATTGGGTTTGGAAACATCTTCTCACCTATTTCAGCAGTTGTGACTGTTTTTAAGAAACTAATTATGCCACGAGCTTCCAGGAGGATTTTTCTCTACTGCTTCATCTGCCTTATGATTAGTTAGTTGCAACCTGATTCTGGCATTGGTCTGTCTGAGGACCTGAGTAGTGGGTAGTGCTGGGAGTTGTATCATTGTCTGTGTCCTAAATTCATAGCATTTTATTGAAAGCATGGAAGCAGTTTCACTGAATGTACTAGTCAGGTGCCCATTTGAACTGTAGGTTGGTAATTGTAACTTTACATTAAGTTGTAATGTCTGTGGAATAGTCCCTCTTCCATTTCTCTCTTAGAAAATGTTTAATCTCCCAGGCGACCTTTCTGAAGTCCTCCCTCAGCCCTTCATCTATTTCTTTGTTATTTCTACTGGTATTACATTAACTGTATGTGTCAGTGAGAAATGATTTGGCATCTTAAAACAGTAGTTTCTTTTTTATGATCATAAAATTGCATATTCATTACAGAAGGTTTAGAAAATACAGAAAAATATAGAGAAGAAAATAAATACTACCTTTGGCCGCTCAGAGAAAAACACTGCTAACATTTTGCTGTATGTCTTTTGAGATGCTTTCCCAGTTTATGTAATGTTTGGGCATGAATACAAACTGATGTCAACATACTTACAATATTTAACCTTCCTATTTGGAAGAGTGGAGTATGTTACTCCATGTTTTAAAAATACAAAACCTGGCCCATCCGGTGTGGCTCAGTGGTTGAGCATCCATCCATGCACCAAGAGGTGGCTGGTTTGATTCCCAGTCAGGGCACATGCCCAGGTTGTGTGCCCGATCCCCAATGTGGGGCATGCAGGAGGCATCCAGTCGATGTTCTCTCTCATTGATGTTTCTCTGTCTCTCTCTCTCCCCCTCTCCCTTCCACTCTCTAAAATCAATAGAGAAAACAAAACAAAACAAAACCCAGTCAGGGTAGCTTATCAATTCTACTGGTCATCTATTTCTGATTAATTTGTTTCTAGTTTATTTGTATCAATTCTTTCATCCTACTCTTTGTACATTTCCTTGGTTTCTTCCTAGTTTCTTGAGTAAAATGCTTCTTTATTTAATTTTGTCCTTTCTTGGTTGATAATGAAAGCATCTAAAGGTATGAATTTGTCCTTTATTTATAGCTTTTGCTAAAGGAAGACAATAAATCTAGAATTATAGGGGATAAGTAAATCTAATTTGGAGAAAAAGGAAAAGCATTTGTATTCTCTGTACAAGGTACAATATGTTTTAAATCAAGTTGTGAATTATGTTATTCACATATTCCATATCTTTATATATTGCTTGCTGGTTAGAATGATCATATATAAGACAGTAGGAAGGAAAAGGTTCTAGCTAGGATTCTGAGTTAAGAGTCTGAGGTAAAAGATTTGAGGTATGATGTCACATGGAGTTTTTTTCCTATGTATTAAGATCTAGGTCTGTGCTTTTGTGCTCTTACGTGTATAGGGACATTGATTTGTAGTTACAGGGAATTTTAACTTGTACTTATCTCTACCCTTTTCTATTACCATAGAAAAAGTAAAACCCAGACCTCTAGGTGGATGAGCCCCACTACAGAATAAAATCCACCAGCAACCCTGAATTCCATTGATAAGGCAAAAGGGACTCTTGCCCAAAGGAAACAGGACCCCTGTGGCACAGAATTGTAATGAAGGACATGAAGTGCTGGTGGGAGGCAGAAAGCCTGCATGCTCTTCACTTGGCTAATGGTTGACTTTGTGGCCTTGGGCAGGCCCCTTTCTGTTTTTTTTAAATATATGTTTTTATTGATTTTTAGAGAGAGAGGAAGGGAGAAAGAGGGAGAGAAACATCAGTGAGAGAGACACATCAATTGGCTGCCTTCTGCACACCCCCAATGGGGATCGAGCCCACAACCCAGGCATGTGCCTCTATCAGGATTTCAACCGGCAACCTCTTGGTCCCTGGGTCGCTGCTCAACCACTGAGCCACATTGGCCAGGCCTGGGCAGGCCCCTTTCCACTGCACAGTGTTAAACAGAAGTGTGATGATGGAGGGATCCTGGCCTTGTTCCTTACGTCAAAGGAGTGCTCTAAGCATTTTGTCATTGAGGATTTCTGTTGTGGGTATTTGCTGTATACTTTTTATTGAGTTATACAAGTGTTCTGCTAAGAAGGGTTCTGTTTGTTAAAAGGATGGGAATTAAATTTTTCTACGTTTACTGTAGATCTTATGCATTTATAAGATCTATACTGTAGATCTTGGACATCTACTGTGATCTTATAATGGCTTTTTTTCTTTATCCTCACCCGAGGACATTCTTGCATTTATCTTCAGATAGAGTGGGAGGGAGGAAGGGAGGAAGAGAGAGAGAGAAACATCGATGTGAGAGAGACACATCGAGTGGTCGCCACCCACACGACCCCAACCAGGGCCAGGGACAAACTGCAACCAAGGTACATGCCCTCAGTGGGAACTGAACCCAGGACTCTCTCCGTAGTCCGGCGCTCTAACCACTGAGCAAACCGGCCAGGGCTTACAATGGTTTTTTAAAAAATATTTTTCTTTATTGATTTTAGAGAGAGGAAGGGAGAGGGAGAGAGGGACCAAACCATTGATGAGAGAGAACATTGATTGGCCGCCTCCTGCACGCCAACCTGGGCATGTGCCTACAACCTGAGCATGTGCCCTGACCCGGAATCGAACCAGCGTCCTCTTGCTGCATGGGTCGATGCTCAACCACTGAGCCGCACCAGCAGGGCTGATTTTATAGTTTTTATGTAATCAGAATGTCTTTTCTCCTTTAATTTGTTAATGAGTTGTGAATTACAATAACAGGTTTTCTTTTTTTTATCATCATTCTATAGTATGTTTTTTAAATTGATACGAGAAAGAGGGAGAGAGAAAGACAGAGACAGAGACAGAGACATCGATGTGAGAGAGAAATATCCGTCTGTTGCCTCCCACATAAGCCCTGACCAGAAATCAAACCCTCCACCTTTTGGTGTATGGGATGATTCTCCAACCAACTGACCCACTCGACCAGGGCTACAATAACAGATTTTCTTTTTTCATTTTTTTTTTTTTTTTTACTTTTTGTTATATTTTATAGGCATCAGTTAATGTTAAGCTAGGAACAGATGTTCTAATGTAGGCTGGTGTTGAATTATCTCTGCATTCCTGGGGTCAATTCTGATTCTTCAGTTCTCAGTTGCTTCACTTGACATTTTGCGTGGAACTTTCAGCTATAACCCAAAGTGACTGTGCCGCTTGGTGATGCACAGCTGTCACCTTGGTCTTCGCAGTATCCCCTCTGATTCTTAGCAGAAGGTGAATGTTATGAGAAAAGAGCGAAATAACCTGTTTACATAGAGGAAAAACGATACCAAACCATCCTGTAATCTAGTCCATGTAGTAAATCTATGTATGTTTCCAGTTTAGTGACTCAGATATTGTTAGAAGAGCCTCTGAAAAGCCTTAAAATGTACTTTTTTGGGGGGTGGAGCAGGGAGAGGGAGGTAGGGGTGGGTCTGATCCTCATACAACATTTGAAGGGCGTTTACAATAATTGTGTGAATGTTTTGTAGGCTTTTCTTCCTGTCATTGCTTTGTTTCTTCTCTTCGCTAATATCTTCTCTTCAGCTTCTCTGATACCCACCATGTACATTTTGCTGGCAGCGTAGTGTGTGATTATGTAGCATACCTTTGTACAACTTTGAGGGCCGGTCTGAGTCCACAGAAGCCTCACCTGTGCCCGTGCAAGCCAGCAAGCAGCACGCAGGTGTACGGGATTAT